TGGACACGAATAATTTGCTGCTAAAAGCTCAAGTATCCGATATTAGCTCAAGATTAGTCCAAATCGAGCAAATATCAAGAGAATGCAACATAGAGATACAATCCGTACCAGAGTTTAAAAATGAGAATCTGCTAACCCTTATCCAACAGCTTTTGGAGACAGTGTCGTGCAGTGTTTCTGATGCCGAAATACTGGCTTTTCATCGGGTGGCCAAGCAAAATCCGACATCGGAACGCCCGAGAAATATTGTGGTCAAACTCTCCAGTGCGCGAACGCGCGATAAGGTTTTGGCAGCAGTCAAGGAGTTTAACAAACGAAAAGGGGAGGAGAAGCTCAATACTTCTCACTTTGGTATAGCCTCCGATAAGCAACCGGTCTATGTGATGGAACACTTATCACCAGCGAACAAAATGCTTCATGCCGCAACGCGATCCCTTGCCAAAGAGAAGAAATACGAGTTTGTGTGGGTCAAGAATGGACGTATTTTTATTCGAAAATCCCATAAAGATCCTGCTAAGCTTGTAAATAACTTAGAATTTTTAAAGAGTTTGTAAGCCCCATAGCCAATGCATGTTATCTAGAATTTAAAATATAACATTCCCTATGAATTTAAAAATATATTTCTCTAATGTAAGAGGCTTAAGAACCAAGACTGAGGACCTATATATTTCAGCTTTAAGCAATAACTACGATGTGATTGCGATAACCGAGTCTTGGCTGAATAATACCGTATTTGACCGCGAAATTCTTGATAATCGTTACGACATTTTCCGGAGAGACCGATGCACAACTTCGTCTCACCTAACAAGAAAAGATGGGGGAGGTGTCATGTTAGCTGTGCTTAAAAAATATAAACCGGTAAGGCGAAAACAATGGGAATCTTCGGGAGAACAGTTGTGGCTTTCCTTGAAGTGTGGACGCGGACTGGACCTATATATCTGTGTAGTTTACATTCCCCCACCACTTAAAATCGACTATGTTGAAAATATTTTAAATAATATTACTCTTAATATACATGACAACATTCCTACAAATTCTTCTATATTAGTGGTGGGAGATTTCAATCTGCCTAACATAGAATGGTTTCGCAATGTAGATAAGGGATTTCATCATCTCTGTCCAATCTCAACTACAGGTAATATTGAAAATCTCTTTATAGACACAATGACATTCAATAACCTTTTACAATGCAATCCGGTATCCAACAAGAATAATAAGATACTTGATTTAGTGTTCTGCAATAAACCGGAATATATCAGAACAACCGTGGCTGAGAATCCCTTACTCGAGAGAAATGATGAACATCATCCCCCCTTAGTTATCGATATTTCATTTAATACTTGTAAAAAATACTTAAAAGCTAGACAGAGTAAATTGTTAAATTTTTGGGCCAGTAACTACGAGAGTATCAATAATGAGTTAGCTTTACTGGACTGGAAACTTATTTGGAGTGAAGTTAAAGATGTAGATGATATGGTAAATAAATTCTATAACAGTATTATGCCAATAATAATTAAACACACACCTTATAAAACTCAACACGATTCTAAATACCCTTTGTGGTACAGTAAGCCACTAATTAAAGCTCTTAAAGAAAAAGCCAAATATCACTCTAGGCACAAAAAATATAACAACCCACTGGATAGGTACACCTATATTATTTTAAGAAATCGTTGTGATGCATTAATTAAGGAGTGTTATACAAAATTCAAAGAACAGGCTATAGTAAATTTGCGCGATAGACCGAAGTATTTTTGGGAGTTCATTAAGAATAAAAAGTCGAGCCGGGTATCTATACCCAATGAGGTCAAGTTTAATAATGTAACGGGCACTGGTGGTCAGCAAGTTTGTGACTTGTTCTCACAATATTTCCAGACTGTTTATACTGCGAATCCATTGGCACCTACCCTTCAGTTTGAGCCACACGACAATAAAAACCATGCACTTTTTAATTTTTCCTTGTCTGAAAAAGACATTCTTGATCACTTATTATCATTGGATCCTAATAAAGGAACCGGGCCAGATTCTTTACCACCAGTATTTTACAAACGTTGCGCTAAATACCTAAGTCAACCTTTAACTCAAATATTTAATTTCTCCTTGCAGTCTGGAATTTATCCTGCTTACTGGAAGGTGGCATATATCACACCGATTCACAAAGACGGCGATATAAACAATGTTAGCAATTACAGGCCCATTTCGATTTTGTCCACACCTGGTAAAATTCTTGAATCGTTTGTTCAGAAACATCTTTACAACCATGTTAAAGGTCTTCTTAGTTCGGAGCAGCATGGATTTTTGCCTCGTAAGTCAACTACTACCAATCTCTTATCGTATGTTAACTCCCTATATAATATTCTCGACAATAGAGGCGAAGTTCATGCTGTGTACACAGATTTTAGAAAGGCTTTTGACCTTGTGAATCATGACCTCTTACTTCAAAAGCTAGAATACATGGGTGTGCATGGATCACTCTTGAGATGGTGCGAGTCGTACCTGAGAAATCGATCTCAGTTGGTTGCTATACACGGATATAAATCTAGAGCTAGGACCATACCATCAGGTGTACCTCAAGGGTCTCACTTGGGACCCTTATTCTTTCTAATATTTATCAATGATATTGCTGGAGTAATAAGTTCCCAATTCAAACTATATGCCGACGATCTAAAAGTATACAGAGCTGTTAACACATCAAACGATATAAATATCCTTCAGTCAGACATAAATAACGTAGTAGAATGGTGTGGACGCAATGGTATGGAACTTAATATCAGTAAATGCTTTCACATAAAATTTAGCAGAAAGATAAACGCTACCAGTGCAGCATACTTCATCCAGGGCGTCCTCATTAAAGAGGTTACTCAAATTAGAGATCTAGGAGTTATTATGGACAGTTCACTTAGCTTCAGGTTTCATATAGACTCAGTTGTTAAAAAATCATCCAAACTAACTGGTTTTATTACTCGTCAAATGAAAATTCTGAAGGAACCCCAACTCACCATTCTTATTTACAACAGTATAGTGCGCAGCATTTTGGAATACGCTAGTAGCGGTGGGCGTTTAAACGAAAAGCGCTTAAATAAGCGCGCTTAAAATATTAAGCTTTTAAGCACGCTTTTAAGTACTATAAGCGTTATAAGCTTTTCACTTAAAAAGTGTGAGTAAGCTTTTCACTTAAAAAAGTGCAAGTATATTTTTTACTTAAAAAGTGCAAATCCCGCCATCTACGTCTTTGCCAGGAAACTACATACTTCGATCCTTCTAGTCCACTACAGTATCGAAAAATGGGTACCCGGAATTCCTTGGAACTAAATATTTCACAATATCACAGACATAGAACGCGCGACTACAGCACCGCGTCGGTGTGCCATCTTTCGTGAGCCGGTTAATACAACATGCGAATTATTATAAAGCGACGTAAAAAATTGCACTTTTTTCGTTAAAAGCGTTTAATTAAACGAAGTCGAAAAGCAGTACGCTTGTCACTGTGACGGGGTAAGAGCGCGTGGGTGTTGTAGTGTGTTTGCATGCTTGCTTGTGTTTATGCGTTTCGTGTATTGGTTTAATGTGCATATAAAATAGTTAAAAGTATGTATATAAAATCAATGAACTTTTAAGTACGCCTGGATCACGAGTATATTAACTCCAGACAGTCCTAAGCTTGTAAAGTTCGAAGGAAAGTTCATTGACTATTATAAAAATGTTTATTATAAAATCTAAATTCAATTGAAAATCTTTCGTTTTTAATGCCAATCAATTCATTAGGTTTAAAAAACTTTTTAATAAAAATTTCATTAATAAGAAGAAAAAACGCAATAAAACACTTAAACACATTAAAAACGACAGTAAACTTTTCACGCTTTTTTAAACGATATACCTAAACGAAAACACAACACAACGTCGCGCTTTTTACGCATGCTTTTAAACGTTTAAGCCAATAAGCGTTTAAACGAAAAAGCTTTTTTTCAAGCGCGCTTATTTTAAAAAGTACAACGTTTAAAAGCTTTTAAGAAAGAAGCCGTTTTTTCCATCTCTATACGCTAGTCCTGTTTGGAATCCGGGGTACCAGATACATTCTACCCGAGTTGAACTTGTCCAAAAAAGATTTTTATACCACCTAGCTTTTTCAGATGGCATTTGTAAAAAACTTCGCTCTTATCAGACTCGCACAACACATTATGGGTTAGCCCTCTTACACAGGCGTAGGAAGGTTTCGGATATAATGTTTTTATTTAAATTAATCCATGGTCACATCGACTCACCAGATATTTTAGAGCATATAAAATTTTCAGTTCCTAGAATTAATAGCCGGCTGCAAAATCGAAAGACTTTTATACTGCCCCCCTGTAAGACAAGACTCGGGAATCACTCTCCTCTTTATAGAATGTTGTCAACCTATAATGCTATTCGAAATGATTTCGACATATTTAAAGGTTCTATGGCCTCAACCAGAAAATGTTTGAATTCTATATTCTCTGATTAGGTTTTTAGTTTTAACTTTCACTTAATTTTTTTAGTTAGAGTTTAACCTATATGTACTATATTTATCCTTTAGTATATATCCTTAGTAGTTAGGTAGTTTTAGAAATGCATGTTGTGCTTGCATCTAGTAGGTTGCAAAGTAGTTGATGTATTTTTTTTTGTATGCATATATTTATATGGATATTCTTTGTAACCAGTTTTGTAAGCCAAATAAAAAAAAAAAAAAAAAAAATCTTTATTGAAATTTGTGAAATTGTCGATGCTATGTCAAATAAATAAATAAAAAAGATTGATCAGACGCAAATAACGAACGCAACAACAGTGTGTAAATAAAGAGAAAATTGCATATCCATCAATGCTTTTAAGAACAAGTGTCTTGGTGACTGTGCTTAGTTTTCATAGAAATGAACAATGTAGTAGCAGCCTCCTTAAAAAAAATTGAGAATCTGTAGACCCAGCGGTTTTAAATTTTATACATTTATTTTGATTAATATTAATGGAAAATTGTCAATCGGCAGGTGAATTCAACGAACGCGTCATTAACGGCAGCTTCGGCGATGACCGGCACGCAGTACCCGTCCAGCGTCACGCTCACGCAGTACCAGCCCATGATCAACTCCTATCAGGTGACTACAAGCATCAGCCTATTAATGACCCCACTGCTGGGGCATACGCCTCAACCTATTTGACTGGCTATGGATTGGCGAAAACTAAAATGACATCACACGCTAGTAAACTTCCAGTGAAAGTGTCATTACTTGTATCGTTTGACGTTGACAGTCGTGTGGCGTCACATAGTAGTGAGACTCTATATTAACCAGAGAAACGGACTTTTTGGCGGGATCGGGAACCATCACTTTAGCAGTTTTGTTTTTCTTGTTATAAATTGTGTTGTGGCGGATGTTAGTGTCTAATAATGGTGGATTATTAACCACTAAGTGTTCGGGAATATGCACAAGTGTTGGCAAGTGAAACAAAATAGCGGAAAGTGTCTTTCGACGTTCCCTCAAGAAGTCCACGGGGAGGTTCCAGTAAATCCCCACACTTTTACTGAAACATAGGGAAAAGGGGATTGACTTGACTGCCACTTACTTTTACCACGAGTGCTATAGTATTTGTAAACATTTTAACACTTGACATAGTATAAATGCACAAGCCGTGCGAAGCCATTTAGAAAGAAAAAAAAACCAGAGAAACGTTTTCATGGCAATGTTAAAATAATATTTTTGATTAAATTTCTTTTTTATTACTAAAATACACTACAGAATGATGAGTATCCACTTTTTATTAGTAATGTGAAATCGTTTTCTAAAACTTGTCAAATACCCTATTATTGAAAATCTATAAGTTCATACTGAACGCGCTATTATAATAGTATTTATCATCCTAGGTATGCATGTACCATATTAATTATATTTATTGCGTGTATTCGAACGTAATGTGCAATGATATTAAATACCCTAGATACAACAACACGTACAAAATCGTGTCCGAAACCAGTCTCAAAAGGTACATTGGACGATCCACGGAGCTCCGTAAGATGACCGCGTTGTCAAAAACAATATAAGACATTATTTTAAACATTGAAAGTCACCCTTTATGCATACTATATAAGGTCTTAATTAAAACTCATGCGTCAGAGTTACGACAGTTCGAAATGCAAGCTCGTTAAATTTTACGACTTATTGCTATATACGGCAAAATAAAAACCATTATTCTTTGACTCTACGCGCAATCCTGAATGCGCTCTTAGCAATATAGCAGGTCCATATTACTGACCATGCATTTGAATTGTACCAATATTTTCTATTAAATCAGTTTATTGTAAGTATTAAAACAATATTTGCTTCAAATACGCTATATTAACAAACATTGATTAGATACCTGTCGAAAAAACGCCAGTTTTCGTAATATAAGTATTTCTTTCGCATCTTTTCACGGATCTCTGCGGCATGTTGACTATGAGTTACCTCATAATGAAGTCATTTTTCAATTTGACGACTCTGTATAGAATACAGGGAGACAAAAACAGCCCTTGCTGAGTTTCTTGCCGGTTCTTCTCAGTACAAGGTCTACCGCCGTAGATTTGCGAACCGATGGCGTAGCTTTTCGACATTGACAAGTGCTTGTAACAGCCTAGACTGAATAAACGATATTGAATTTTTTGATTTTTTTTCAACGGTCCGCGCGTGACTATGAACCAGGAAGTGCTCGAGTGGTGTTCGAGCACTTCTTGAATTTTGTTTAATAAAAATTTCTGATTGTAATATATGAATATTGGTCATGATAATAAGATAATGAAAACGATCGATTCTATCTATTAACATGGGCATATGTTTTCCAGCAAACGTCGTCATCGGCGGCGGCATACGGCGGCAGTGCGTTATACACTGCGGCCCCATACTACCACGCGCAGCAACATCACCACACTCCCCCGGTCAAGCACAAGGACCACAGCGTGAGTAATCATAATCATAATAAAAATCATTTATTCATGTTTAGGGGGCGTTCAAGTATTACGTAACGCAAATTTTCAAGATTCCCATCGCCATTACGCCATCGATTTGTAAATCTACGGCGGGAGACCTTGTACTGAGAAGAATTCACCCTGTTTCATTATTTACAGAGTCGGCAAGTTGAAAAATTACTTTACTTCATATATCATGAAGTCACCTTTCATTACATAATAATTAAATAGTGTATGCCCATATTAATAAATAATATTCAACACTCACACCACAGAACATACAGGTAAGAATAGATCATAGACCGTTTATGGTACGTGAACCGATGTCACCGACTAGCCCCCACTACCCTTCCACCTAATAGATAATAGCCAATCAAACGACGCGACATTAAACTGTCGAACCAATTGGCGCTTACAGCCGAGAGCAACTACCCTAACAGAACAAAGTTTTGGTCAAATTTTCGTCTTCAAACAAACCCTATTGTGATTCAAACCTCTGTAGGCGACACCTTAAAACCCGGCGTACAAACCACTCCGCTACCGAGGTAGTCGATTGCTGTCAGACGCGAACTAAACTTTAGCCAACGTAATGTAATAAGACACATTTAAAGTATGTACTTAAACATATTATTTTGTACTACATTCTCAACTTTATGCCGCATTGCTAAGGGCTTACACTCGTTAAAACTTCGACTCCCTATTCCCAATGTTAGTCTTGGTTTAAACCTAACGTTGTCTCCGTCCTCTTTTTAGCGAACAAAAGTGACAGTTTGAATTTTAAGCCAGGTTTAACTTAAGTCAATGTTTCAAGTCATAAGTAAATATTTTTATAGTACAAATGAATTGTTATTATGAATTAATAATTGTAATTTTGTTGACATAATGAAGAAATGGCTATTGACTTAAAAAAATTAACATGTATTGTATGATTATTATGTGTAATATAATGTACAGTTCTTATATTTAATTATTTTTGTAATTGTGTTGACATAATGAAGAAATGGCTATTGAATTAGAAAATGTGACATGTATTAATTGAATAAATAAAAAATAATTATAAATTTGACATTTGAAATGCAACTGTTACTCAATTGAAATTTGATTTTTTAGATAATTTATTAGTATTTTGTATGCTCTTCCAAGGGCGAAACATATGGAACTTTTTATATTATATACCAGCTGTAACAAACTATGCTTCATGCAAATAAACTTTCATTTCATTTTGTAATAGGACAGACAACGCGGCGCTCCATAGAGGTCTCGTCTACCAATATTGAGCTCGATGGCGCAGGTGGTTAGCGCGTTCGGCTGCGATTGTTGTAGTTAAGCAGCTTTCGCAGTGGTCGGTCATTGGATGGGGTGACCAAAAATTTCTTTCTCGAGTTCCTCCGTGCTTCGGAAGGCACGTTAAGCCGTTGGTCCCGGTTGCATCTGCAATCGTTAGCACCCGCCAATCCGCACTGGGCCCGCGTGGTGGGTCATGGCCCAATCTCCCTATTCCATCCATAGGGAAGGCCTGTGCCCCAGCAGTGGGGACATAAAAAGAGGCTGATGATGATAATGATGATGTACAATAATTTAATGAGATTTTGTTTTTCTTTCTAGCAATACGACAGTTCAGTAGCGTCAAGTAATAGTTTAACGAGCACATCAACCACACAAACCACCACAGCCAAAGTCACAACGACGACCAATGGTGAGTTATTTTATTAACAATCATATAAAGTGAAAAAATGGTGTAAGGAACCTACACATGATTTTCGATTATCTAGACAGTAATACCCACTCGACATATTTCGGCAACTTATTTTTTTTCTTTCTCACAATATGGCGCCCAGTTGTCTTCATATTGATTTTTGATTATTATCATATCTTTAGTAGCACTCCCATGATTAAGACGAATCGATTGATGTATAAATCATCAAAGTCGGCCCACGCGTTTGGTCTCTAGTGTGCCACAAAGGAACAAACATACATATATAGACTGTTAAACTCTATACCCTGTCTGCGCGTCGCGCTGCGCGCTCTTGCATTGCGCAGTCGGGTAAAAAGACAGCTTACTGGAAGATTTGTAAGATACATAGAAAATCTTAAAATCATAATAAAAAAGTTAAAAGACAGATTTCCTAACATTCTGGGTTTGTAAATCCAAAGAAAATTTTACTAGCAAAAATTGGTTGCCTGTAGAGTTTACGTTAGTTTTACGTGATTATGTCATAGAGAAACATTGACGAAAAATTGCACAATTGCTAGCTCTGACGCCACTCGAGAAGAGAGATAAACAAGCCGACGCTTGGGCCGATCGTGCCTCTCTATCGCTTGTTACGCGCTCGCGCTTGCACGCTCAGGCTCAGGTGGAACGTGATACTTTTACGTGCATGCATCCGGTGTTTATCGATTTGTAAGACATCACGTCAAAAAAATCTGTTTTTAAGGTGATTTATTAACCATCTTTTTTGAGGTATTAATAATAGATCGGTCTTAACTCTAACACTATGATTTTGAGACACTGTTTTCATATTAAATAATATTTCGAGATCGTTCTCGCAGTTGAGAGCGATCTCTTGATACGGGCCTCTAAAATTATTGCTCAACCTTAATATTTATTTAATAATCACTTACATCTATCATTACAGGTATAATCTAATACAAATAGAGCATTTACAATACAAGCAATTATTATACAAAACTAAAAAATAAAAAAAGCATAGACATGACTACAAACTCAGCCATAAAATAAATATTCCTATGATAGTATACAATACGCGGCCCGTGTGAATTCATTCAATGTGCATTTTTTCTTTATATTGTTGAAACCTATAACACCAAGTGGGCCGATAGATGTGCCCAGAAGTAGGTAAATAGGGGAAACTACCCAATCATTGGCACTCTTCCTATTATTGGCACTTTTGAGTTTAGTTCGAAAAAAACAGGAAACAGTAGATTGTAGGAATAATGCTGCCAATTTTCAAATTTCGAAACCATACTAGGTTTTTCTTTATAATATGGAACGACCTTGAATAATCTATTGTCTCCTTGTTTTTCCGAATAAACTCAAGTTTTTATTTTTTATGCACAATAGGCAATGCGTTTGACCACAATCTCACCTGATGGAAAGCGATGATGAGGCCTATAATGGTACACGCCTGCCTAGAAGATGCCTGTTCACTCTGACCTTGAAGATGTCCAGATTATATTGGTCCGGGAAAACAGACCTCGGCAAGGAGTTCCACTCCCTAGCCGTTCGTATAATGAAGGCCGAAGCAAATCGCTTCGTGCGAATGGGAGGAACTTCGACAACATAAGGGTGCCAAAGTGCCAATAATAGGACGAGTGCCAATGATTGGGTGGTTTCCCCTACATAGACAAGGGTTGAATGAAGTAATCCGACAGAGAACCAGAGTTATCGACATAGCCCACCGGATTAGCAAGTTGAAGTGGCAGTGGGCTGGCCATATTTGCCGAAGAACCGATAACCGTTGGGGTAGACGAGTTCTGGAGTGGAGACCGCGTCTAGGCAAACGTAGTGTAGGACGTCCTCAGGCGCGATGGAGTGACGATTTGCGCAAGGTGGCTGGCAGGAGCTGGATGCGAGTAGCCCAAGATCGATCTGAGTGGCGTGCATTTGGAGAGGCCTATGTCCAGCAGTGGACTATGATAGGCTGTTGATGATGATGATGATGATGAGACAAGGGTTTGTTCCCCAGCACACGCGAGCAGCGCGACGGCTTCAGGCGGCGGAAGCGGAAGCGGGAGCGGAAGCGGCACCGGCACCAGCAGCACCGTGCCGCCCGCCTCCACGCCCTACGCGCCCGCTGCATTATATACCGCCGGTCACTATTATATTCAATACTTATATATCCTTCCTCCGATCGTAGCTCCCTCCGAGTCCGACGGCTTAGGCACGTCTCAGGCTCGTATTACAGAATCTATATATATAAAACTCAAAGGTGACTGACTGACATAGTGATCTATCAGCGCACAGCCCAAACCACTGGACGGATCGGGCTGAAATTTGGCACGCAGGTAGATGTTATGAGGTAGGCATCCGCTAAGAATTTTGATCAATTCTACCCCCAAGGGGATAAAATAGGGAATGAAGGTTTTTATGAAACTTTGTCAATTTTAAACCGATCGGGCTGTGACTTTGCATGCAGGGATAAGAGGAATCATAGATGAATGTCATTGTGTAAAATACAAGCCGGAGAACAAAAACTGTAGTCTACACATCAGCTCTACACCGAAGCTCCATCCATCTTTACTTGAATACAATTAGAAAGTGATATCGTTATGTATAGCAGATAGCGACTTCCCTTTCGAATTGTACTCAATTAAATATCAATACTTAGTTATCATTCTGTAATACGAGCCTAAAAGTTTGCGCCCGTTAAATTAAACGAAGTACTTAAAACATAGTTATATATGTAGTAGAACTAACTATGGTAACAGATAATGATCATGATGTTATCGAAATAAACAATGTTGTCGTTTGCGCAGGCGTTGGCGGTGTGGGCGGCGGGTATGCGTACGAGGAAGCGCAGCTCATGCGGGGCGGAACCACCCTACCCCACCATATGGTAAGTAAACATGAAAAGACAAGTGAGAGACCTTACATTTCTGACCAATTTTGTACCTTGCTACAAATTATCTCAAAAAACATCTAAAATTATATTTAAAAAGACTCACTAATCAAAAAACTCAATAAATTCAATAGAATAAAACTAGTTTTTACGGGTTAATGCACGAAACTTTATTTATTGACGTTTCGTAGCCTTTACAGGCTACGTCGTCAGAATCAAATTTTATTTATTCATTATAATTTTATTTATTTATTCATTAAGTAAAATTTGATTCTGACGACGTAGCCTGTAAAGGCTACGAAACGTCAATAAATAAATAAAGTTTCGTGCATTAACCCGTAAAAACTAGTTTTATTTAATGAGTGATGTGCGTGAAAACCTAAGAAACAAATAAATTCAATAGAAATTGATGAAAATATGAATTAAAATATTTTGAAGCTCATTTTCCCCATCTTCCCCATTTTCATAAAGAATTTATTATTATTATTATTATCTACTGTACCCTTACCACAAACCGATATCGAATAGGGTATTTGGCAAGTTTTAGTAAACGATCTCACGTTATTGACAAATGTTTATGGAGTCCGTAAAAAGTCGATATTCATCATTCTGTTGTGTATTTCAGTAAAAATAACCAAATCAAAAACTCCATTTTGAAGTTGCCGCGAAAACGTTTCTCTGGACAATATGGCGTCTTACTAATGTGTGACGTCACACGACTGTTACTAAAACGTCAAACGATACAATGTAATGTCACTTTAACCGGAAGTTTACTTGCGTGTGACGTCATTTTAGGCTCCGCCAATCCCAAGCGTTTTGGGTCACGTGACAATAGATAAGAAAACTATTATCTTTTTCGCGAGTTTGTAGTGAAATAATGAATATTTTTTTTGTAAAAATAGTAAAAACCCCTGCCAATATTCATTCTAAACACAGATGCTAACAATTGGCATTTTATTTTTAATACTGTCAAATACCCTATTCAAATAGATTGCGAATGTGAAATGTCATTGTAAAATGTGTACTGATTTTTATTCAGCTCTCGTTACGTTTGCCGTGGCGTTGCTGTTCAAGTTTCCAGGTTTCCTAATACTAAATAATAAGTCGATATAGTCTAAACTAACCTAGATCCAGCTCAAAAGGGACTTGGATTTGTCAAAGAGAGTTCTGATGTGATGATGCTTGTCCAGGGTGGATACTACGAAGTTGGTTATGGCGGTCGGGAAGGAACCTTCGGCCTCGGCGCTGGAGACAGATTCGGCAGGACAGACGCCGCTTCACCACAACAGGTCATTACAATTATAGAAACATACCTATATTGTTTTAAACTTTCATAGTCACTAACATTATAGCTGTTAACGGGATTGTTACCATGTACCTTTTTTTTATGAGTCTCCGATATTTAGGCACTGTTGCAAGCGCCGTGATACCTGTGTAATTGCGGGTAGATGTTATCTACCCTCTGACTTCGTCTTTTATTGCGTGCGATACCCCTACCACTGGTGCCATTCTCACTATTCACTCGCACTTGTTCCCGAAACAATACTCACAGGATCAGATCGCGGAACGACACTTTTTTGATGTTTGCGGTTTTTGCACATACCACTACACGTACCACGTACCACTGGATTCCAGACACTTGACAATTTAAACCCATCCTCACGATTGAAATTCTTGTGTTTGGTTATTTCAATCGCTTCCCTGACCAATCTTGGTATGTAGGGGCGTTCTGTCGAGATAATTTCTGATAATATTACTAATGATATAATATTTTTAGGTACCAGCGGCGTTACCTCCAGGCTACGCGTACTTTTACCAACCACCACCAACCACGTATCAATACGGCGTCTATCCCACGGTGAGTAATTAAAATATCTTTAACATAAAGAAAATTTTACTAGAAAAAAAATCCTCAACATTTTTCAAGTATTTTTTTTTCGATTTAAATATCCTAGCTAGCAGTTAAATGCTTAAAAATAAAAATTATCGTTAACTTTTTTTTATTTACTAATAAAATCATTGCAAGTTATTATTAAATTGATATTTTCTAATTTAATTTATGGAAATACACTTGTCAAAAGAGTCTTATAACATGCATCAATTATGCAAACTGCAAGTTTTATCAGATAATATTTTATATTGACGTTATGACATGTATATTTATTTAATGGTTTTTTAGTTTCTAGCCACTAATAAATTGAATTGGTATTATTAAGAAACAAACAACAATATATGTATTAAAAACCATTCAAAAGTATAAAGAAGTTCATGTTGCCTAGCCTTTTTTATTGAGTATATAATATGTAATATTTTATTTCTTTTGCAATAGAATGTTTCTCTAGACTCTTAGAGTTAAATGATACAATAACACATAAAGAATGAAGGTAAATATACACTTGCGTTTTTTTCGCATAATCTCTGGAGAATATCGTTCGGTTTTTCAATTACGCTTGTTTCTAAGAAGTTGTCTTTTTATGTATCTATATCCTTATGATAATTTCTGAAATAGATGGATACTAAAATGTACTTTCTTCAAAATAATTTAGTTATATTTTTTCCTTTTAGCATGTACCTCCTAGATGTTTCAATCTAAAGAACAAAATAATTTAGGTAAAAAGCCATGTTCAAGGCAAAGGGGGTAGCGGGTTAACGGGGGTCTATCGGCCCCCACCGAATCTGGTAAATCGTTCCAAAAATTTTGAAGAGGGTTGAAAAACAAGCAGTATAAGCTTTTTACCGACATTACAACCCCAAATAAAAACAAAAATATGTTTTTTTGTGATTTTTATTTTTTTCAACCAGTTTAATTTATTTTAAATGGTTTAAATGCAATTAAAAATTTGTGTTAGATGTGTGGAAGTCCCCTGTATTTTTTCAGATTTTTTGGTCAAGTAAAAACATGTGAATTTTAGGTTTAAATGCGAAAAAATCGTGAAAAACGTGTCATTTTCAAGATTCAACCCTCTTATTTTTAGGGTTGTTTTCATTTTCCCGAGGGGTGCTGTATAGTATAGATAGCGGCAATCGCCCTCTTTCGAATGCAGGCAATTGGACTCAATTTCGTCAATTCTGGTGAGCGGGTCGATTTTTTGAAAAAAACCTCGAATTTTCAACTTTCGGTAAATTACGGCGCGTACTTGGTATAATGCGTCTTTGCTTTAAAAAATGCATCTCAATAGGGGTTTTTGAGGTCGCTGATCATGATTTTGATGTCAAAAAAATTTTTGACGACAAATTCACCCATAAATATTTATTAACACAGGTTTAGGCAAATTAAACTGGTTGAAAAAAATAAAAATCACAATAAATACATATTTTTCGCCATTACTGTGTTTTCGTTTGGGGTTGTAATGTCGGTAAAAAGCTTATACTGCTTATTTTTCGACCCTCTTCAAGATTTTTGGAACGATTTTACCAGATTCGGTGGGGGCCGCCAGACCCCCCTTAACCCGCTACCCCCTTTAGTTGTAAATTCGTGGTAAACACATGACTTCCTAATTTGTTAATCTAATTTTTTTTATCAGGGTCCTATTTCATCTGGGGCTGTGTAAAATTTGCGCAGTAATTAGTAGTATTTTCATTATTACTTACAAAATAGTTCTCTGCGAAAGCTTCTTAAGACGAGTTCTTATACAGAAGAACTTCTAAAGAACGAATAAATTACTCCTTTGATATCATTGATTTTGAAAGTTTTTTTTAAATATATCAACCTACAACAAACTGTCGGCCTTCATATGACAGCGACATATGTCGGATTTTTGTAACAGGTCACACTGATCGCGTGCAAGAATACTTAGTGATATATAGTACAGAATTATCTGTAAAGTATGTATCTCTGCAGAAGAAGCTTCTCTGGGGTAAATTGAAATTATGTTGATTTTTTGAATTCGTAGCGAAATATGAAAGAACTAGCTGTGCCCCGCGGTTTATTAGGGATATTTTCCCGCAGTAAAATGTAGCCTATGTATTAATCCAGGGTGTCGGCTAACTCGTGACGTGAAGAAGTAACAAACATACACATCCACAAACTTTCGCCTTTATGATTGATTTATTTAGTTGATATTTGGCGTATTTTTTGTATGCTCGTTAGAAACAAATTGACATATGTATATGTCGACCCGGTGAAATAGTGTTCCGGATATTGTTCGCATTATAATAAGTGATATTTCCCGGTTCCAGTACGGCGGCGGGTCCAGCGTGGGCGGGGTAGGCGGCGTCGGGGGAGTCGGGGGGGTCGGCGGGGTCGGGTCCGGCGCCGCGGGGAAGGTCAACACCTACACCCCCCAGCAACCCCCCTACGACGCGCCCGACTCATACAAGCCCGGTGAGTGACCCGTGTATACATACTGACATGACCCGGGTCCGGCGCCGCGGGGAAGGTCAACACCTACACCCCCCAGCAACCCCCCTACGACGCGCCCGACTCATACAAGCCCGGTGAGTGACAAATAAGGATATAGTCATGTACCTGAGGCCGCCTGAGCCTCGTCATTCGTACAATTAACGTATAATAAAATATATATGGCGTTTACATAAACATATAAGTAAGTCCTTAAAAGAAACTTAACCCGCGGTGCCCGCGTACCAGACGATCTTTCTACCACTGAACCATCGCTGCTTATTGACAAATTGTGTAACAAATAAATATGTAACGCGACATCCTAAAGACAAATAAAAAAGAAATTATGGGGATGTAATGAAAAGTTTCACTTTAACAAATTGACTCCCAATCGTCTCACAAAAGTGCTTTAAAAAACGTCCGCTTTTATATACATTCTTATCAATTAAACATCAGCTTGTACAGATTGACATAAACGCATATGTTTAAAATGGCACATGATTTCGTGGCAATAAAATTCAATGACCAGTGTTTGAAAATAACGACGACACAATAGACGCGAATTCGGCACTATTTGAGAACAATTGTGACTTTTGTATCTCACAATTGTTTTTATACGATTCATTCGAATAACAAAGAATGATAGTTTGATTCCAGAGTTATACGTGAAGCATAGAAGCCGTTACCCAATACCCTTAGCACGAACCATCATCGAATTCGAATAGTTGAATTCCTACGCGTGTATAGAAGATTTTAAATTCTCGTTACATCCGTTGTGGCGCTGTTGCATACAAAATTTTGTGGCATTTGATGAGTATCGAGCTCGAATTCATTTATTAGTTGTTCGTGCTTGGGGTATGGTATACGCGGAGTATTCGATTTTCTGAAGTAATACTTTAAACAGCGATAAATATTATAATGACTTTTCTTTCATTTAAAATGCTATGTTATTGAGCAAAAAAAAACCTTATGATTAACCCTTTCGATGGTTATCATAAAATATGGCGTGTTTTTTTTTTCGAAAGTTCACGAGTTCGATTCCCAGTTGTAGAAAATGCAGTTCTAGTTATTATTTAAAATAAAATGATGTCTTTCAGTAAAATATCCTATCTTCAATATTTAATATACTTTCCCTCCGTGTGAGGTAGCCGTGGGACGGCGAACCTGATAGGCATGTTGAGGGGGTAGTAGAGTAAATGAAATTCGATCAGTCCATCTAGTCCAGTCAAATTACGGAATCAAATAAACATGAGCGAACACAGTTTGGGGATTTTGAGGATCGTTAGGGGGGTGCATCCTGAGCTTAAGTTCCAATTTGAGGGGCTGTACTGAGGTCAGCTCAAGGTCATTTCGATGCAAACGCGTTTAATTCGATATCTCGAGAAATATCAGTGTTAGCCAAAAAATTATAGAGACCTTTTTTCTTCTAAATAAAATTTATTAACTTTTTTATTTAAAACTTTTTTTTGTAACATCAATATTTTTTAAGTTATTACTCCCGCAAGGCAAAAATTTCATTTTTTCCCCTATTTTTCGTCGTTTTCTCCCCAAACATTCAATTTTATTGAATTTTACCGATCATCAACGTGTATATCTTTTAATTATGCACAATTTTGTTCTTAAACTTTTTTCTGTAACTTCAATACCTTCGGAGTTATATATTATTTTACCGAGCGAAATCCACGCCACTGTCGCAGTATAAAAGGGTAAATCGATTAAACTATTTAAAAATTGGGTATTTAATTTGGGTAAATTTATGGGTTTGTTTGGGTAACAAGTAAATTAACAATTAAAACTGTTTCACACATTTATTGATACAAAAAATAGGTTATAAAATTCGGAAAATTAAGCACCCGAGGTCGAATAACTCCGAAGGTATTGAAGTTACAGAAAAAAGTTTAAGAACAAAATTGTGCACAATTAAAAGATATACACGTTGATGATCGGTAAAATTCAATAAAATTGAATGTTTGGGGAGAAAACGACGAAAAATAGGGAAAAAAATGAAATTTTTGCCTTGCGGGAGTAATAACTTAAAAAATATTGATGTTACAAAAAAAAGTTTTAAATAAAAAAGTTAATAAATTTCATTTAGAAGAAAAAAGGTTTCTATAATTTTTTGGCTAACACTGATATTTCTCGAGATATCGAATTAAACGCGTTTGTATCGAAATGACCTTGAGTTGACCTCAGTACAGCCCCTCAAATTGGAACTTAAGCTCAGGATGCACCCCCCTATCGATCCTCAAAATCCCCAAACTGTGCTCGCTCATGTTTTTTTAGCCCTTTTTTTTCCGTAATTTGACTGGACTAATCAGTTAGATTATCGAAAAATAATGGACACTTATTTTTTTGTTAATCAACCAAAAAATTACAAATATAAAGCCCGTCAAAGTTTGGGAGAAGGGGTTCGTGACGCCACTTCTAAGTAAAAATTGTACCATAACGTAACGCAATGCGACATTTCAAATCAACATAGGTATCTCTGTAATGTTTTGATATATATAAATACTACAGAAAAAAAAGTGTCCAATACTTTTTGATAATCTGCCGGATAGATAAGAAACAAAAGTTAATAGATGTAACGCGTAACTCGTAAATATTTTACACACTCATTGGTGTCAATTCTGACACGATTCTCTAAACCTAAACTTAAAGTTGACAACGGTGTCATTCTCTATACGGAATGAAAAGGAGAGATTGATGTTAAATTTAATTAAATGAAATAAATAAATATTTTCAACACTCACACCAATTAGCCTAGGCCCAAAGTAAGCACTATAAGGCTTGTGTTATGGGATACTAGGGTAACGGATAGAATACACATACTTTACATATATAAGTATATTTATATAGAAATACATATTTAAATATCCATGACTGGAGTACAAATGCTCGCGTTCATCACACAAATATCTGCCCCCACCGGGATTCGAACCCGGGACCTCTCGAGTCGGCGACGCCAAGAAACCCGGCGTACAAACCACTCGGTCACGGAGGTCGTCAAAAAGGAGAATGCCCATTGGTAGTATCGTCCTTGGTCGGTCTTGTACATTCACCTAATTTATATCAAAAATCAAGTTTTTAATTTTCACAAAACCATGTTAAATAATTTGCTTTAACTTCGCCGAACAAAAATTTCTATAAAAAATTAGTAATTCATTCACTTCCATTTCATTTGTATTTTTGACACACTTGTCTTCTCAGTGTTGCCATTTTGTAATAACCGTATCGATTTATCAAAATATAATCGATGCACTTGTAGTTATTTCATCAAAATAACGAGTTAGATTATGCGTACAATTCAATATGCTAAAGAAAACATATTATATTGCATTGCATTTGTCGCAAAAAAAGTAGTCTGATCTGTATATTAAGATTATTACTTAAGTATAGATATAGACTCGAAAGTCCATAATACACGTTTAGATCGACTGCTAACAGTTTATTTACCGGATAATTGTCCATATTATCGAGGGGTAGTCAGAAAAAAAAGTATCGCAACGGCTCGGTGTCTGTTAAAAAACCCGATTTTTTAGGGTCGTACATGACACATATACAGCCCTAAACGTAAATGCTGCATCACATGCATTTATGTCTACGTGCATGACCGACGATAATCCATACGAGTAATGTATAACTTGCATGCTGATAATAAAAGGAACTCCATGGGGACTTCTCATTCATCTGCCTGTACCTAGCCTGAACGCTGTTTGTTTTGATATCAATAAAATAAATTCTTTTTTGCTTTACTAAGTATCTCATGACGCAATACCGTCCACAGATTTAACACAAATAATGTATCAGATATACTATGTTATATTTCGCACGTATAGCGCTAACGATCCATGTGCTATACGTGCAAAATATAACATTTATGCTTCTACTATGATCATAAATCTATGACAGTGTAATAAATAATGAAGCGGGATTAAACTATTGTACCAGTAGTGATAAATCGGGAAAGAGGAATATCGATTCATTCATATTTTTTTAGAAACTGGTATTAATATTTCCAGCGGTGTCTGTCAAATTTGTTTTTTTTTCACTGACGGTTCTAATTTCGAGCAGATTATTTGGTAAATATTTCAGTGTTTATGATTATTTTCATGTATACCTTTAAGCTGAGTTGATTTTTGATTTGATCCAACCATTATATAGATAGATAAACTTGAAACATTTGTTATATCGTTATTCGTATTACCCGTCGAGCTAGAGAAAAAGTATATTTAATTATTGTATCTACACATAGGACCCTACAAAATAAGGTAAAAACCGTCATTGTACAAAATTTTTCGTAGCGATACTACAGTCCATACTACGATGGGCATTCTCCTTTAGTTTTAAGTTTAGAGAATCACGCCAGTTTTGACACCATTGTCAGTTTTCGAATACCTTAAGTTTTAAAGACGCTGTAAGTTTTTAATTGACGCATATTAATTGATTGTTTAATATATGTATTCCAGCGGGCGGGTACAGCGTTAACGTGAACGTGGGCGGCGCGGGCAAGGCCACCGCGGCCGACCTGCAGTACAAGGGGCACGTCGCGCTCAACAAGGTCAACGTGAGTATCTCTTATCTATTAGACAAGTCCGTCCGTCTGTCTGTGGTGCTGTTTCAGCGGCCAAACCGTAAGAGATAGATAAAGAGAATATTTAAGTTACAAGTTAAGAATAGTCTGATAAGACTACAAACCGGATTTGAGTAACGTAGCACTTCCGGTTTTCGAGAAATCATGAATTTCAAACGAAACCACACAAAATCTCCGAAGTTCTCAATTAATTAAATACATTTTTTTTAAATCAGGTTTTGGTGAACATTTGGTTCACTGGTTTGCTAGTAACCTATAACACTAGAAACCATTCATATGTTACCGGACCAATGCGACCCAAAAACCTTCAAAAAAAGAGCGTACTCCTTCCTTAAAGGCCGGCATCGCATTTGTGATACTCCTGGTGTTGCAAGTGTCCATGGGCGACGGTGATCACCTACCATCAGGTGAGCCGTCTGCTCGTATGCCACCTATAACATAAAAAAAAATGTATCATCTTTTTTTATTTATATTCTTAAGCATTCCAAAACATTAACATCATTTAAAAAAAATCCGAAACAATATGCAGCTGTTAAACAAAAAAATGAAAAACTTAATTGATGGCTATTGTTATCCCAAATAAATAAATAATTTTCTTTTTTACGCATTCTTCAATCACTGGGGAGCGTGAAGAAAGTATTAACTACTCCCTGCTCATTTCTGGGGGCTCGATAAAATCCTTTATTCCCAGTGAATAAAAACAACTGAACTTTAATACCATTTGCGTCTGGTGACAATCCCGAGGCGACGGCGTATAAACGGTTAAAATGAACAGGGCCAATAAAAACCAGACAGTACTCCCGCAAAGATCACCGGACATACATTCTAAAGACAGAGATTGGAGACAGGTTTTGGCCCAACACACTGCACCATCTATACTACGACCACATCATCATAGATACATACATAGATTAAGGAAACAAGTAGACTTAAGTAAAACTGTACCTACATGTTATTTAGCAAAACATAGCAGTAAATGTTGTACCATAGAATCAAATAAATTTAAATAATTACCAAAAAGATAGCGAAACTCGGGCCCTTGCGTGCGATGAGAAGGAGAGGGAACTCACGCAGGAGCCCGAGACCGCAAAAACATAACACAAGGTACACAAATAGAATAAACTGAAAATCCTTTTGTTCCACAAAGCATGTACAATAAATAATAAGTGAAAAAAAAAGAAAAAAAAAAGAAAAAAAGATAAAGAAAAAGAAAAAAAAAGCGTATACATATATATAATAGAATATTCATTAAAAAGGGGATGGACAATATGTCCAAATTATATTAGTTAAGTAGACATAAGTGAGCATGCCGCATGTTTGCATGATTAAATATAAAAGGCCGCACTGAGTGCACAAACAAATGTATATAACAAAACTTAAAAAAGTCAAACAAAATAATGGCATAGGCATACGCCTATGGAGTAATTGTATTCAAAAAAAAAAAAAAAAAACACATCATCATTGAGGAGTTCAATGGCGCAGGTGAATACCGTGTTCGGCCTGCGGTCGTGGAAGTTAAGCAACTTTCGCAATGGTCATTGATGTTCGTGTGATGATTACGAGTATTTGTACTCCAGTCATGTATGTTTAATATGTATATTCTATCCGTAACCCTGGGTATCCTATAACACAAGCTTTACAGTGCTTACTTTGGGGTTATCATCAGCCTATTAATGTCAGCTCTGCTGGGGCACAGGTCTTCTCTATGGATGGAATATTGAAATTGGGTCATGACCCCCTACGCGGGCCCAGTGCGGATTGGTGGGTGCTAACGACTGCAGATGCAGCCGGGGCCAACGGCTTAACGTGTCTTCCGAAGCACGGATGAACTCGAGTTGGAAGATTTTTGGTCAGCCATCCAATGGTAGACCACTGCGAAAGTTGCTTAACTTCAACGATCGCGGCCGAACGCGTTGACCACCCGCGCCATCGAGCTCCTCAAAACAAAAACAAAATATCTATGAATGACCATCTGTTCGGCAGAGTTACGAGAAAGCGGGGTTCCACAGCGGCACGCCGCCGCCCTTCGGCGCCTCCCACCTCTACATCCCCGCGCCGCACCACCACCACCACCACCACAACGCGCACCAGGTATACCACTACCACTCTACTAGTACCACTCTACCACCAACACCACTTAGGCGAACGACTCACCAATGCCCACACCACCACAACGCGCACCAAGTATTCCCTCCGATTTCGTCGGCCCAGGCACTTGTTAGAGTACCCCGATGGCAACAACGCGCCTCCGACTCCTCCCACACAGGCTACAAACACCAACACTACACACTAACATACTTGCACACTAGCTTAGCATTAGGCAGACACCTCACCCGTAGGATAACAGTGCGAAGACCCGGTTTACACACGACACGCTACACCAAGTACAGGTACCTAGGCGTTTATCCCCGCCCCCCACGACAACAGCTAACTAGAGCCGAAGTCCGAGTCTCAGAGACGTCCTCTAGTTGAGCCGACCCCCTCAGGTTCGAGTGGTGTAAAGGCTCCAGACGGAGAGGAGACTCCCCCTGAGGGGAGATGTCATCCGCCTGGAATACCTCTAGAGGCACTCGCCAATTCTCGGCTTGAGGTCCCCTTAGGATCTCGCCGTCCCCAAACCCGGTGACACTGCAAAGGTCGTCTGTGACCAACAGCATACACACTCAAAATAAAAAGCTACGAAAAAATCATTTATGACATGGCTTTCTTAGGCGGGTTCCCTTAGTGCGGCGATAACTATACCCTTAGCACGAACCAATATCGAATTAAAATCAGCTACGATGTGCCTATTCCTGTTTCCACAACAATAAAATTAAATATTCTGTGTGCAGTACACACTAAATTAAATGTTTACGATTATATTTAAATAATCTATAACATCCTATTCTCATCAGAGTATTTTTGATGTAAGATTTTTCACAATATAAATATGTCAGTCGTTTTTGGGAAACAATTAAACGTTCAGAATGTTATATAGAGAGACTAGCTGACACAGCGAACTTCGTACCGCCCTAAAAAAAATAGGGGTTGTCCAGCGGACAAAATTGTGAATCTAAACCATTCTCAGATCCCCTTGAACACACACAAAAAATTTCATCAAAATCGGTCCAGTCGTTTAAGAGAAGTTCAGTGACATACACACTCACAGAAGAATTATATATATAAAGATTCGGTTTCTTATCGTTAGTCTGTCACTTTATTACTTACGTCTGAAATACTATAATGCGATTCAAATAAGAATAGGAAAGCCAATGACCTCTATCTGTCAAAATTCGTTTGAAAAATACGGTTTGGAAAAAAATACTTGGAACCCTTTTTAAGCACTCCGCTAATTCAAGAATAAAAACACAATATGGCGCCCAGTCGGTCCTATTCTTAGTTGAATCGCATTATACAACAGTGTAGCTTTACTTATATACTTCCGTTTCCTGAATGCTCACTACATCCTAGTGTTCTGTAAAATGAATCTAACGACACAGAATTAACTTATTTTTAGACATAATTACAAGCAACTCTTTATAACTTATACAAAAACTGGTTGGATTCATTTTACCCAACTAACTTTCAAATACACATTGCATGCTCATAAGTATTTTAAAATATTGTTTTTATGGTAAGTGAATTCATACATATTTATGCATGTGTATGTAGTTTATCAGTCATTATTAGTTTTTACTGCTGTTATTTTGTTATATACAATTGTTACAAGACATTAAAATAATTTTCCATTTAAATCTAACTTTTAAAATCTGAAATTCCAATCTATTCGAAACTTTTTGCTGTAAAGAAGAAATGGCATTGTACCTGAAGCTTCTCAAAGTCAGTTTATAACGTCAATATACATTTAAAAAACATCATACGGTTTGACTGTTATATATCTTGAAATACTTTGAAATTCAACATTATTATTTAAGTAATAAAACAATGGTATTGGTGTCGATTCTGGCATGATTCTCTAAACCTAAACTTAAATTTGACAGCAGTATATCCTTGTCATTCTCTATACAGAATGAAAAGGAGAGACTGATGTTAAATTTAGTTTTAAGTTTAGAGAATCATGCCAGAATTGGTACCATTATGTCACAAAAATTAATGTTAATGTTTTTTTTCGATTTATAAAATGTTATGTATCGCAATTACACTTAAATTTTTTCCTGCAATAATACATTTGTACATAACATACATTATATATTTGAAAACGAGTGTGTAGCATGTTTAAACGAATGCGAAATACACAGCATGCGTCCACATTGTATATTTTACTTTAATATTATATTCTTAGAGTTTGCTTTCGTTTGTAGATGGATGTGCGGGTGAACAATAGTCATAGTAGGCGGGTAAGTCAATGTATAACATGTATATGTTTATATCACCATGTATGTATGCGCATCTCATTCTATATGTCGTCGTTTGTGATATCACGCACATACTTATTTTAATTTTGTATATCATTATTTTAATTTGGTATTTACCCGCCTTTTAACTAAAAGATATAATAATATGTATATTTATTGCAACTGTTTGTTTCATGTTCTTATATATTATATTTATGATGAATTAATTACAACATTGCATCCATTAACGCGTCATTGCTTGTATGGAATGATCTGTCATGTGTTTCTGTAACTATGTCCTGTATATAGACAAATATTGGGCCCAATTCTAGCATGATTATCTAAACCTAAACTTAAATTTGACAACAGTGTATCCTTGTCATTCTCTATACAGAATAATAAAAAGGAGAGACTGATGTCAAATTAAGTTTTAAGTTAAAGTTTCTTTCCACAATCGACACCATAAGCGTTATAAACAAAAAATACATACATTTATAAGGAATTTAGACGTTAATTGGCAATTAAACGGTTGAAATAAAATGTTGTGTCAATTTTACTAGACTATCGAAGATTAAAACGACTACACATGCTAGTAAACTTCCGGTCAAAGTGACTTAAGTTGTATCGTTTGAAGTTTTAACAACAGTTGTGTGACGTCACATGCTAGTGAGACGCCATGATGTCCAGTGGAACGTTTTGGCGGCAACTTAAAATTAAAATTTTTGATTTAGGTTTTTTTACTGAAATACACAACAGAATGATGAATATTCAGTTTTTATGGACTCTATGAACATTAGCAAATAACGTGAGATCGTTTTATAAAATTTGTCAAATACCCTATCTATTGGTACTTTATTTTTGTCAAATAAATAGCCTTTTAAGTGTGAACATAAATGAATTGTGAATATGTTAGCGGGTTATCATTCGACTCGGATAGATAACATGTGAAAGGGGGGAAGGGAGGTTTCTGTTACAACTAATTGAATAGAAAATTAAATATACGACGCAACAAAACCGGCTTTAAACTTCATAGTGTATGAGGCAACGAATTTGAAATTATATGGAAGCATTAATCTTTAACAAAGCCCGCTAACGTAACAATTTCAAACTCATACAACTAAACTTCAATATTAACGCGACACGCGCACAGGCAAAACAAAAAACTTACTTTGTCAAATCAAATATCTGCAAATGAATTCGGCTATCCATTCATTGGGTAAGACAATGTGAAACGGAAATCCCAACCAATCCCATGATCGGCGTGTTGATTACAGATTTTTCGCCCGCCCACTTGATCGCAGTTAGTGTGTAACCACTTTTTAGCGATATGAAATATAGCAACCATATTTCTTGACGACGCATGCTGAAAACTGAATAAGACGCGAAACGTCAAGTTCTTTTAAAAAAAAGTTTTACAAACGCATTTTTGAACTCGTCCAAAAAATTGTTTCATTCAATGAGTAGTGTGCGCGAAAACTTAAGGTCCATATTATTTCTAATTTGTTGGTAAGGTGGAAACATAGTACCACGTCTGTAAATAAACATTCAATTGAGCGAGCGAGACAGAACTATACCCTTAGCACGAACCATTATCGAATTCGAATAGTTTGCAAACGGAAATGTCAATGTCAAATTTTGTATGGAAACTTGAACAGCAGCGCCACTTTGGACGTAACGGGAACTAAAAATCAGTACACATTTGACAATGACATTTCGGACTCGCAAACTAGACCAGGGTCGATAATTTTTGAGAAAAGGTAGAGAATATAACAAAAATGAAAGAAAAATTAAATTACGGGCGATCTGAGGTCGGGAAGGGGGAATTGCATTTTCTGAGAACATTTATCATAGTAGTGTATATTTTTTTTATACCATCATAAAGTAGAGATTTCAACAAACAAAAAACACCCCAACTTTTTTAAAAAAGCAGATATTTTGACGTGAGAATTTTCGATTGAAAATTAGGGTGCTTTTTGGATTTTAAGTCAAAATAAGGTGAAAAAATGAATATTTTATGATTTTATTTATTTTTTAAGCATTTAACTGCTAGATGTTTAAATCTAAGGAAAAGTTTACTAGAAAAAATCCACGCGGACCAGGCAGCGGACGGGACTCGAACCCGCATCCTTCGCTATCCGGTATCCGCTATAAAAATTTTTTCTAGTAAACTTTTCTTTAGATTTAAACATCTAGCAGTTAAATGCTTAAAAAATAAATAAAATCATAACTATAATTGCTATTTCTTCTTTCAAATGTTTAATACTTGAAAAAGTATTCATTTGACATTGTGGGTTACCTACAATGCGAAGAGATGGCGCTGCCTTGCAGCTTAAGGCTACGAAAATTTCGACGCGGCTAATAGGGCCGTGGTAGCATAATGGTCAGTGCATTCGCCCGGATAGCGAAGGATGCGGGTTCGAGTCCCGTCCGCTGCCTGGTCCGCGTGGATATTTTTCTAATAAACTTTTCCTTAGATGAATATTTTAAATCAAAAAAATTACTGTACGTTTGGGACATACAAAGGTAAGTTTTCACCAAATTTCGTGAAAAAATATTTTTTTTTGCAAAAAATAGAAATCAAAAACCAAAAACTCGGTTATTCGCATTTTTCATATAAATTTTGAGGTTATGTGAAAAAAGTGTCGATACAAAAGTTGTAGATCTTTTTATTACCTACAACTTTGCCATTTAACTTTTTTTCATAGGACTTGCAGTTTTACCGGAAATCGAGATTAACCATTTTTTTACCTTTAAAAACTCACCCCCTCCCGCTTCCTGACCTCAGATCGCCCGTAATTTATTTTTCCTTTCATTTTTGTTATATTCTCTACCTTTTCTAATGGGTTTCATCCTACTTTAATTTTTTTTCACTTTTCACCATTTTTAAAATTATCGACCCTGGTCTAAACGTTACGAATTCGATTTTGGTTCGTGCTAGGGGTATACTGTACGCTTCAAAGCAGCTTGAGCGAAACGGCGAGTCCCAACGACTGAGCTGTATTGTTGTCCTTTTCTTGATAACAAAATGGCGATTACTTAAACAACACTCTTTTTTTTGAAAAAAAAATGATACGAATGAAAAGTACCGAGGATTTTGAACTATTTGTGTTCTTTATAAAAGCAACGAAGGCATTCTTTTAACTTTATATCACAGAATATACGCATTATTGTTATATTGAGTGCACATGCAACGTGTTTGAATGTCCAATTGTGTCTAAAGCGAATTGTGGTCATGCACCACAATTTAAGCGGATCATTTTTGAGCCGCGAGTGCTGTATCTTCCCTTTTTATTTTAGTCTAAGAGTACCATAAATTATTATTTTATTGGAACGAAGTTCCTC